ACAGAAAGCTGGGAACAGGAAGGTACGGGAGCTGCCCCGGTGCCCAGGTACTTGCCAGCCTCGCAGCGAGGAGCCTCACAGGCCCCTTTCCTCCTTCCCACGCGCCCAGGTCCTTTGTCCATTCGGCCTCACGGGTGCAGCCTCCAGGGCCCTTCAACTCTTCAGGAATCTACAGAAACGACTGAGATGAAAACAAAACTTATTGGCTCCAAAATACACATGAAGCTTCACAATTGATGTTTAAATGTCTATAGAACATAACGTGGTGCTAAGTAGCCAACCACAACTCTTGTACACGTGAATTCTCTCTGTTCGGGGTGGAGCACGGCGCTCTGTAACAGCCTTGACGAGCTGTGGGGAGTGTCTCCAAAAGTGTGTGCAGTAGCTGCAGCGGCTGGGACGGAGCTCGGGTACACTTACCTGCTAAGGGTCTATTTCATGAAGGCAACGAACCCCCTCCATCTCACCTCCAGCACTTTCGGTGTAAGCCACACTGCCCAAGAAGGATGGAGAAGTTACAGGCACCCAGCAACTTCTAATTCATCGGAGGGCAATTAAGAAGCTTGACAAGACTTCCTTCATCAGCTCCCTAAAGGAGGGACTATATTAGGAGCCCATTTTTCCATTTTTGGTTTGATATACCAAGCAATTCTGGTTAAAAATGAATGACACTAAATAATGATACATCATGCTACAGTAATTAGGGTCAGATTGATGATGCAAAAACAATGAGTCTTCCTTCTTAAGTTCTTCAGATAAAACATCTTTCCTGCTACCCCTAAAGGTTAATTAGCAAATGAAGTATTTAAAGCATTAAGGACTAATTCTCCCAGGTACAGTAAGTCACAGTAAAACAGGTCATTTCCATCTGCATCTGATCGGCTCAGAAGTCTCATTTCCAAATTAAATACCTGAATCTCAGCCCCTCCCTGGAGCCTCCTGGAACAGTCAGCACATAGTGATGTTTCAGAGCAGAGTTCTTGTTTGGTTGCTTGTTCCAGTTCTCTGTTTACTGTGTTCGAGGCATTTCTAGGGGACCCCTGACATTCATGCCTCAGCTTATCTTCTTTACAAACCGGGTCCTTCCTGACAGGCTCCACAGGCTTCCTGGCTTCGGTTTGTCTTCTAGAACTCTCCCATAGAGCCACCAGAACCTGGAGCAAGCAGCAGCCTGAGCCCGTGGGTCAGCTCCCAAAGGTTCTCGAAATGAGCTCCTGGTGGGAGTTCTCTTCACTTGCCAGCAGTGCCAGTGGCCCGCCCTCTGCCTCTGGCCTGGCCTCCCCTAGGAGCAGGGTTTGTCGGGGTGTGAGGGGGTTCCCAGCTGCTTTCCCTTCTCTTGTCCCCATCCAGGTCTGCCCCATTTCAGTCATGGCCTCCAAGACTGTGCCAGGGATCACATTCTCCCTGGTTTCCGCCCCCCGTAACTGAAGTCTATGCCTCCCAGAAGCCACAGGGCAGCACTCCGAGCCCCTACCTTCTGGGACCTGCACAGCCTCTCACCCGAGCCCCTTCTCCTTCAGGTGCTGATGCTCTCAGCTCCTGTGCTGCTCATGGAAGAATCCCCGATGGGGTTACTTTACACGTCCGTCCGTGTGGATGAGTCACTGGGTCCTTCTCTGGGGGATGGAACAATAGCCTTTCATTTCAGTGAAAGGAAAGTTAAGCACCGATTAAGGAAGATAGAAGGGGGGAGGGAACTCCCTAAGAATCACGCTGCCTAAAATCACACACTTGGCCTCCCTACTACTGATATTAGTCCTGACCCACAGAAGAATGGCTGCTTAACTTAAAAACATGACCAAGACAAGGGCCAGGCCAGACAAGAAGACAGGAGAGAGAAAAGTGCAATGAACGATGGGAACACTGCTTGGGGGGAAAGCGGGGGGCAGTGAATAAAGTGCCAGGCTTTTCAGTCCCAGATGCAGAGGCCAGGAAACCACCCGGTCAGACAGTCAGACGGTCAGACGGTCAGACAGTCAGACGGAATCACGGTCCAGTCACGTCAGTGCAGGGAGAAATGATCCAGTGAGGAACAGAATGGTTTACATACTCAAAGCTATTTACCTACTTTCCCTTTGAAGTTTAAGAAGAATATTCTTCCTGTTTGGAAAGAGAAGGGGTATTAATGAAAGAGCTGAAGATATGAAGAAAATAATTTATTGATATTAAAATCAGGGGATTGGCATGCAATCAGCAACATGAATCATGAGTAAAGAAAATGACAGCTAGGGGGTGGGAGTGGACAGGGAGAGGTCAATGGGGGGAAAAGGAGATGCATGTAATACTTTAAACAATAAAGAATTTAAATTAAAAAAAAAGAAATGAAAGAAAAGAAAATGACAGGAGAACGTGCCTTGCTTGAATGAGGCTGGGGAGTGGCAGGGAGCGGGACAGAAACAGCTTGTCGCCCCCCCGCCCCCCTGTCACCCCCGACTCCCCCCAGGCAGGAGTCGCTGCTGAGTAAGCACCAAGCAGCAGAACAGCAGCAGCCCTCCCTGAGGGATCTGACAGGCCAGGTCTGAAGTAACCAACACACCTGTGGCCAGAGCAGCACGCGCACACACACACACACACACACACACACACACACACACAAATACTGTTATTCTCACCACCAAAGGCTTCTTCATTTCCTAAAAGGATGTGCTTTAGAGGCTTGTTTCCATGGAGAAGTAACCTCGCTGTATTTTAAGTGTCACTTCAAAACAAAAGTGTGATTCCCTCCAAAAACCCTTCCTGGGAGAAGGCGGGCTGCTCGGAGAGGTGAGAATGGTGCTCGCTGTCCCGCTGGAGGAGGGCAGAAGCCTGGGTGGTTCTGCGCCTGAGGAGCCGGGAAGTCGGCCGTGCTGCCTCTTCCTGGAGCAGAGAGCGGACGCGGTGAAGGTGTGCACGACCAGTTCACACTGAGTTCCGAGACTGACGAGGACAAATGGTGTGCCCACCTCTGTTTGCCAAAAACCTGATCCCAGAACCTGCCCCCAAAGATGCAATTCCAAAGGTCTGGAGTAGGTCCTGGGAACCTTCATTTACACTGCAATCCAGGGCAGTGGATGCCAACCTTTCGGACCTCACGGGCCACCAGAGGTCCGCGGACCACTGGTTGGCGACCGCTGATCCAGGGGATTCTGAGGCAGGTAGTTCAGAGACCATGTGTTGGGTCTGGGGTCAAGTGGGCCTGGGGTGGGTGACAAGGTCCTAGAGCAGCGGTTCTCAACCTGTGGGTCGCGACCCCTTTGGCGGTCGAACGACCCTTTCACAGGGGTCGCCTAAGACCATCCTGCATCTCAGATATTTACATTACAATTCATAACAGTAGCAACATTACAGTTATGAAGTAGTAACGAAAATAATTTTATGGTTGAGTCACAATGAGGAACTGTATTTAAAGGGCCAGAAGGTTCAGAACCACTGTCCTAGAGGATGAGGGTGGTCAGCGGCAGCAGAGAAGGAACTTCTGAAGGCTGAAGACACATTTCCACACACTCAAGAGACAAAAAAGTGCACTGGAGGGAGGGCTGCCTTCTGCGTGTGCCGCCTACCCTGCCCCAGGGGACAACCAGCTCTTCTGAGCTGGCCTGACCCTGCCTTACAAAAGCACGATGAAGGCCATGCTTTTAGAGGGCCTCCAATTGCTCAGCCACACCTTGCATTTAGCTACTCCCGCCCCCCATCCCCCACCATTAGTACAAAAAAACACTCTCCTTTGAATAGATAAAAAGGTGTGCAGGTGCCTGGGCCCCAACCTGGGTGTGCTGCTGGGTCTGGGTCCTCGGCCCTTGGCTCTGGCTCAGGGTCAGTGGATCTAAATCAGGGGTGGGGAACCTTTCTTTTGCCAAGGGCCATTTGGATATTTGTAACATCATTTGTGGGTCACACAAAATTATCAACTTAAAAATTAGCCTGCTACATTTGATCAAACATTTAATTAACTCACCCCTAATGCCTTGGCAGGGCCAGACCAAATGATTTCACGGGCCCGACATTCCCCACCCCTGATCGAAATGCCTGCATTTTAGCCGCATCACTGTCAGGTACTAGTTGCCCTGACTGCCCCGGTGAACAACCTGCTCTGAGTGTAAACACAGGAAGTGTGGGGACATCGGGGCTGGATGATTACTGCCAACATTCAAGGTACAGTTCGCGTATGCAGCTCCAAAGGTCAGCCATATGCAAAGAAATTGGTACATTAATGAAAGAAGAAAAACTCTTTGCTGCCTAGGAACAATGCTTGGTGATCTTGCCTGTTGGGTGCGGGAGGGTGAAGAGAGGTGAACTTTAGCCGGGACACCCACTGTATCTGGAGGACCAGGCCCGAGGGCCTGCCACTCCTGTCCTGGGGCTGGAATTCGGTGTACTGACCAGTGCTGGAAGTCATGGGTCCGTGGAAGGGCCTGTGCTACTTGCCACAGAGAATTTACCCTATTTTATTACATAAAGAAAAAAAGATACATCTATTCAACTTTGGTTGTCATCTGTGCAATCTCCTCTGTGCAAAGCAAGGTTTCCTTCCGCGGACAAGGTAGCTCACATTGGATCAGTGTCCTTCCAAACCGTCTTTCAGGTGGCCAGGCCTTGAGCCAGCTTGCACCTCTCTGGGAAGGCATGTGCTGGCCCAGGGAACACAGTGAGGATGACATGTGATCCCCAGTGAACTTCGGGAAATGTGAGCTGGAAGACTTCATGTTTTCATTGCTTGGATTTCTATTGGGCAACATTTCTCTTTCTCTAAAAACCCAGACCACAGGGCTGATATGAGAAAAGCCACACTCCAGGGTCTCCTTTGTTCTTGTTTGGTGCCTAACATCAGCTTTCCTTCCTTCTTTCAGAGAATAAGTCAAATATTCTGGTGAGGGGTAAAACGGTGCTTCTCTTTCTCTGCACCAGATGACTAACTATTAACATCCAAGGTGTAGTTTGTTGGAGCATGTAGCTCCCAAGGTCAATCACACTCAAAAGGAATGAATACATGACTCAAAAGGAAAATGCTGATCGGAACAAAATGGTGGAAAAAATAATTGTATTTATTTTAAAAGAGCTTTTGGCCTTCCCGTAAACATGGAACTCCTGCTTCCTGAGGAAGACTTCGGATGGACAGTCCATGTTGGTTGGGCGGTTCTCTCCAACACCTCACGGGCCTGGGTGGGCCTCACCCTGCAGGCCTCTTTGCAGGGCCCTTCTGCCCAGGAAACGTGCTCTGCCCACAGCTGGCTCAGGTGCACAGGTGTCAGTGAATCCCTCAGGTCACCTCATTTTGTCAGCAAGTCTGGATGCACCTAACTGAGTCCTAAGAAAGTGGATCAGCTTGGTCTCGGTGAGGAACGCTGTCCCGAGAGTCGCTCCCAGACAGAAGGCCCCCACCGCCACGTGCGCCAGCCGGGCCAGCCAGCCCTGCTCACAGCAGAGGAACGCCTGTGGAAAGAAACCACCGTCACCGCCCTGGCCTCCTTCCTCTGGGGCAAGCCGGGGGAAGCAGGGGCCCCACTGTTCCAACTCGGAGTCAGATCAAGGGCGTGACAGCTATGCACTGAGGGTCTACCCTGTCCCCACGGCTAACAGCATCCTAAGATGCTGTCCTAGAGGCTTAGGGTGAGGGACAGAGGTGGGAAATACTTGTCCAGCTGCTTCAGGCAGAGCAGGAAGGGAAGCCTAGAGGGAGGAACAGGGGACAGCTTGCTTCAGGGACTCTCACCTCTGACACACCAGTAATCCCACCACTGAGGGCAAACGCTCCCAGGAGGACCGGCGACAGCTGCAGGCCCGCCAGGGGCCTGTGGGGGCTCTCACGGTAGTAGCGGTGTATGAACCAAAGGCTCTGTGTGATCCGAATGCCCATGTTAAAGCAGTTGGCCAAGATGAAGCCCACACTGCCACACCAACGGGTCAGGAGGTAGGACAGCACCAGGAATGAAGATGACAGGGCCAGCATTGTGAGGTTGTACCTGGTGAGGGAAACAAGCAAAGCGGGGCAGTGGCAACTTGCCCTAAGACAGAACTCCTACAAAAAAAGTGGCTGTGAACATGCAGTCATGGAAAGCACCTGCAAGTCCCCACAGTCCAGCTGGTTTTCATAACATTTTCATGCTCTAAAGATAACATGGAAATGTCACTGTCCCCCCACCCCTGAATAGAGGAGTAAGAAAATGAACAACTTGTGTCCTGACCGGTGTGGCTCAGTGGGTTGGAGTGGCATCCCGTGCATCGAAAGGTTGCCAGTTTATTCCCAGTCAGGACACATACCTAGGTTCTTGGTCAGGGCAGGTATGGGAGGCAGCTGATTGATGTTTCACTTTCACACTGACGTCTCTCTCCCTCTCCCTTCCTCTCTCTCTAAATCAATAAAAGCATGTCCTCAGGTAAAGATTGAAGAAAATGAGCAACTCAAGATAGTTATGGTTTTTCAAGGATAATAATTGGTTCATTTAAGGGGCACTTTGTAATCAAAACACAAAATAATCCTATTCAGCCCAAGTCTTTAATGTGAGGCAGGAGAATATGGCACGGGTAACAATTATATACAAAGGCTAACTCTGTGTCAGGCACTGGGGGGGGGGCGGGGGGGCGAGGGGGGGCTGTGGATAAACACACAGCCTTCCCTGCGGAGTTCAGGTTCATTTGCAGACAAGGAAACCAGGCACAGAGTCTGAGTAACTTGCCTGGGGAGGGAGCCAACACTCCCCCTGACCCCTGGCCCCTAAACTCTAGCGCTGCACACCACTTCCTTTCAAACGCAGAAGCCCCGTAACCTTGGCTGGTGGACATCATTCAAAGCAAATGATCAGCCTCCAAAATGAGATGTAAACAGGGAGCAGGCCTGGATCATCTCCAGTGTCCCCAGACTCTTGCACATCCTTCCTTCTCTCTCTGCATCTCTAGAGCTCTTTGGAGTCTATGACTGGATGGACTGTACTGCTCCTTCTGCTTCTCTGATTTCAAAGCAGCAAGTCACTGCCAGGCCGGCATGGCTCAGTGGTTGAGCTTCAACCTATGAACCAGCAGGTCAGGGTCCGATTCCCAGTCAGGGCACATGCCCGGGTTGTGGGCTCAATCCCCAGTGTGGGGTGTGCAGGAGGCAGCCAATCAATGATTCTCTCTCATCATTGAAGTTTCTATTTCTCTCTCCCTCTTCCTTCCCCTCTGAAATCAATAGAAATATTACATATATATGTTTAATATTTCAAAATTAAACTTATCTGAAGTAAATACAATGTCAAGACCATTATTTGAAAACTATATGTTGTGTCCAAAAAGTAGGCTGGAAAATCAATTTAGTGGGTCATGATATGGCAGTTTAAAAATAAAACAACAGCCCTGGCCAATGTTGCTCTGTGGTTAGAGTGTCAGCCTGCTCACCAAAGGGTTTTGGATTCGATTCCCAGTCAAGGACACATACCTGGGTTGCAGGTTCGATTCACGTGTGGGAGGCAACCAATCAATGTGTCTCTCACATCGATGTTTCTCTCTCTCCTCCTCCCTCCCGCCCCCTCCCTCCCACTCACACACATACACACAAAAATCAATGGAAAAAATATCGTCGGGTGAGGATTAACAACAAAAAATAAAAATAAAAATGAAACAACAGAATAAAAACTATCAGCGTGTCCTGTGCATAACTGGCGAACTTACTGCTTCGTGAAAGCAGGAAGTTTCAGTCATGGCCCCTGAACATGTACTGGGTCACAGTGCTCAATGTCGTTTCTCCTGTGAAAGCTGGTTCGGGCCAGCCGTTCCTCGGGCCCAGCTGTCGCTGGAAATCTCCTGGAGCTGTGTAATGGAAGACCCCTCGGCCCAGGCCCCGACAAGTCTAGTTCTGTTGGTCTAGGAGGGGCTAGAACTTCCTAAGGGAACCTGGTCAGTCTGGGGTCTGCTGCTCTAGACTCAAGTTCTAAACTATGGTGTAGCAAACAAAGTCACAAGCTTCTTTGTGAGACAGTCCAACAGGGGCAGAGAGGCTGCTCTGAATGAGAGGAAGGGCTCCCCAGCTCCGTGAACTACCCTTTCCCATCCCACCCCCACCACTGGCCTCAGGACTTTCAGCAGCACTCAAGGCAGTTTAGAGGCAGCATGAATGCCCCCAGGGACCAAAGGAATAACGAGGGCTCCTCATCCCATTTCATCCCATTACCTGCACCCACCCCTTCTACTCTCTCTCCTTCTCCCTATCACTTTCATCGCTCTCCTCACCTCATCCTGTAGTGATATCTTAAGATACAGCCTTGCTGCTTTTGGTATTTGGACACAAGAGATGAAAGATCCTGAGTTCATTCATGAGCAGTTCATGTCAAAATCACTGAGGAGCTTTTAGACACACACACACACACACACACACAGAGTTAGGAGCCTGCTGATTCTGCAGGTGTGGTAGGAGAGAGAGTGGTGGAAGTAGGTGGGCAGGAGTCTGCATTTCTAGCAAGGCCCATGGGGGATTCTGACTCACAATCAGTGTTAAGAACCACTGCTTGAGGTTCCGGGGCAGAGGTTCTGGTCTGTTGTCCATGGATGGGAAAAAATGGGCAAAAACATGTATGTTCACATGAGCCTTTCTCTGAGAGAAATGTCACAGATCCTGAGATTCTTAAAGACCCACTAGTCAGATTCTCGGGGACAGGACTCTGAATCCTGGAGAAGCCCCTTGGTAACCCTCTGGAGCAGTAAGCAAGGAAGTGCAGGAGTAGAGTGTCTTGTGCACGTCTCTGCAAACCTGGACTGACAGCCCTCAGGCCCAGATTCCTTCCTCCACCGACGCGGGGTGTGCAGTGGAGAGCCTGGGGAAGGTTGTACTAGTGGCTAGGCGCCACCTCTGAGAGAGCCTTTCGTAAGGGCAGGTCCAGAATGAAAAGAAATGAGATGGCACGTTACTTCACTTTGGCTAAAGGCCATGATTAGAGGTGTGTCTTTAAGGTCACCCACCTGTCGACCTGTTCTTTGCTCATGGCAGCAAATGTGAAACACTCGGTTACTCCATTGATGGCAAGCAAGAGAACGTAGAGAGAGTAAGTTCGCAGCAAAACAGGACCTGTAAGGAAACAACCCACTGAGCCACCACAGCCCGAACGGGAGGCCCCCACCCACCCTCAGGCTGGCGGGGTGGTCAGAGAACACCAGCAGGGGGTCATGAGCTGGTATCATCGGGGGCAAATGCATGCTCAAGCCTATGGTCTTAGTGACCTGGAAGGACTCCTAGCATTCCATGGCACTGACTAAAACAAACAGCTAAAAACAAAAGGATACATATGAATAAATGCATAGATCTCTTGCTTAACAGCTAAAAGCTTATCTGGCCAGCAAGCAAATCTCGCTTTTTAAACCAGCACGGAGAGGCCTGCTGGCTGGAGCACTCAGGGCACGAGGGCTGCGCTAAGAGAACCTCAGTTGGAAAGGTCCTGGAGAAAAGACCTTGGGGAGAACAGGAGCAGCAGGCAGCTTCAGGGAGAGAACACCCACAAATCCGCAGGGAGGCCAGAGCCCACCGTGTTATTTTTTTCTGTAACAAAGTAATGCAGTTCTATAGCTAACTAACAAGCTTTGAAAAAATCTGCTAACAAAAGATCGAAGCCTTAAAAATGGGACTGACCCCCAGTTTAAGAGGGCCATTATCAAGAGACAGCCTAGCAATTGGTAATGAAATTAACATATGCCCAATCTGTGAGCCAGCAATACCACCCCTAGGTATACTTCCCACAGAAGAAAAATCACATGTTCACAAAAACACTTGTACATAAATGTCCTCAGCAGTTTTACATATAACAGCCCAAACCGACATCAATAGGCGAAAGGATAAACTAACGGCGAGCCATCCAGAGTCAGGAGCAGGGCAAGGAGATGAGGGGGAGTGGAGGCGAGGGGGAGGGGAAACGAGGGAAGGAAAGCTAGCAGGCACCCTGGGAGACACACTGACCCTACCAGAAGCCACGATGGGCTTTACAGAGGCTCAAGTTTGGTCAAAATGAGAGGCAGCTATAATGCGGAGACAAGGCTAGAAGACCCTGCTGGGACATGACGCTGGTGCAGCCTGGCCAGGCAAGAGATGCCGATGGCCCTGAAGAACTTGGTGGCACCCCAAACCACAGGTTCTTTTCACTAAGAAACCTGACCATTCTCAAGACTCTTCTCTGTGAAGAGGATACTGAGAATACCTTTTTGAGTCTAAAGTTATTAATGACTGTGACATAAACCATCAGAGGCATTTTACCTTAGAAATCAACTAACACTAACCTTTGAATTGATAAATGCTTTTATCAAAGCTCAAACCTGGCACCAGCATCTCACTGGAGTAAAAGGACTACACATCCACAGTCGTTGGTTTATGTGTCTTCTGAGATTGATTACTCCCCTGGGTGAACATTCCATGGATGGGACAGCCTTCTCCTCCTGGCAACTCCTGGGATCACTACATTAAAGGCTGCTCCTAGGTGATCACCTTTCTAAAGGGGCAGAGCTGCTGTGAAACAGCTGAGTCCCAGTCTGCACAGACTCACTACTGGCTTCCCACTGAGGCCTCCCTGTAGCTGCCTGATAGAAACACACTTCTCCCAGCAGGAGCCCCAGGGAGCTGTACGCCTGGCACTGATTTCACAGCAGGAGTTTCTCCAAACTTAATGGCCTTTGTTCTTTTCCTGATACCGAAGTCTGGGCTCATTACAGCAGAGGCTAAAGCTACAGCGGAGACTAAAGCATGCCCGAGGACTTATAAAATGGCCACTGACAAAGCTCTTCACATTGAGATGGGGCAGCAGAAAGAAGTGTTCAGGGTCCTTGTCTAGTGACCTGAGGAATGCAAAACCCCTTTGCTAAACCCAAGAGGAAACACTGCAATGGACTGCCAGCCCATGCCCAGCGCATTCTGAAAGTGGTGCCGTCCGGGGCCGATCAAGTGCTGCGAGATGCGTGGTGGCCTGGGCTCCCGGTCTTTTAGAGCTCGACACAGTCAATGCTTTCCTCCTTCAAACACCGAGTCACTGGACTATATGTACAATTTTATTTGCCGAGATCAATTTTATTCTCTGCAAGTGGCTCTGGGTTATCCTTCAAAGGCTTTTATGCATCAGGCCGTGAGATTTATGTTGTATTGACTATCTTCAGTGTGTTCAGTACCAAGTGGAGGCTCACTACAGCCTGCTCTCTGCCTTCCTCCCTCACCCTCACCGTATAAGGCCCGAGAAATCATTTGGTCTGGCCCTGCCAAGGCAATCGCAGGCGGGACTCGAAACTCAATAAATCTAGGAGCTTCTTTCATAGCAACATACATTTATATTAAGTGAGTCATATCCAATGGCCCTTGGCAAAAAAGGTTCCCACCCCTGCCCTGGAGGGGGCACATGGGAGCACCTGGCAAACCCAGTTTAGGCCTAAGAGGAAAGCCAAGGATTTTTTTTTTTTTCTAAAAGTTAATCCTCAGCTGAGGTTTTGTTTATTTATTGGTTGTTAGAGAAAGGAAGGGAGAGGGAGAGAGGGAGAAAAACATCGATCATTGCCTCAGGTACACACCCCGACCAGGAATAGAACCTACAACCTAGGTATGTGCCCTGAACAGGAATTGAACCCAAAACCTTTTGGTGTATGGGACCACGCTCCAACCAAGCCACCCCGGCCAGGGCAAGCAAGGATTCTTAGCAACTTCTTCAATGAGGTGGGGGAACAGATCCACCTGGTCTGACCTCCTATGAGGGGAAGAGTCCCACCCACAGCCCTGCCACTAACAATTCCCCCGAGACGACACAGATTCAATGTGTGTGCAAAAGCTCTTGAATTTCATAAGACTCTCTTATTTCTGTTCAGAAATTAGAACACATCTGGCAACTCTTGTGCATACCTGATCCTGAGCTAAGCATGGCCCCTCCATAGATATCCAAGGCCAGCTGAGAGTAGGCAAAGCCAAAAACGGTGATGGTCAGGCCGGTCAGCAGGGCCAGCTTGAGCAGGGACTCCAAAACCGTGGCGGCCACAGCAACATCCTCCTGGTGCCGGGGAGAGGGAAGGAAGCTGGATGAATCATGAGCCAAAGGAAAGCCTCACATCTGGCCTCCCCTGTGCTGCTTCCTGGCCACTCCTTCAGTTGGTGAGGGCATCACTGCTTTCTGCAGCCCGCGCGGTGTCTGTCAATCAGCAACGGAAGGAAAGGACAATGTGTGCCTCCTTCGGGAGTGCAGGGGCGGCTTCGTGTCTAACTCATTTAGAATAAATTATGTCAAACGTTTCTTAGGAAACACTCACTGTCCCCTCTGATATTTATTCTTAAATGAGATAGCAATGTTTTGCATTGCTAGCTAGCTGTGCCTTTGCCAGTGTTCTTCTCCTGACAAACATCTCCAAATCCTGAAGTTCCTGTCAGTGTACTTGGGAAAATATTCCTAAGTCAAATTGAGAACCAGATTAGCTCATTGTGATACTGTGCTTAAACTATATTTTGCAAAATGTCTAAGACATGTAAGAGGCCACCTTAGCTTGCTTTTAATTCTAAAATAATAACCGTTTGGTGTACGGGACCACGCTCCAACAGTGTGTTCAGTATCCAGACATTTTCAGTGGTTTTAGAAAAGGGGAAGTTTATGTAACCAAATGCTTCTGGATTAAAATTTCTTCTGTATTTACTAACTGGAGTATGTAGATTCTCACGGTCAGAATGTAGCTCTGGGCATTTCACAATCCTTACACTTGGGTTGCGGGTGAATTTCCCGCCAAAATATAAGATGGCGCGTTAAAATGCCTATATCTTTTGAAGTATGGGTTCGATTGAAATGAAATATTTGGTAATACGCAGTTACAATCGGCCCGAGTTTACACGTTTCCCGCACTCCACCGCAAATCTATATGAACCGAGTTTAAGACGGCTCCCGCGGAGTACGCGCAATTCACGCGAGCCGACTTAACTCGTTTCCCGCAACCCAAGTGTTAAACAACTGGTGTGGTGAGAGAAACCGAATGACCAGGTCCTTCCCTCCCCAGATTCTCAGTCAGCCTTGCCCCAGTCTCTGAGTCCCTTGGCTCACCTCTGGGTCTTACACCCGAGACTAGACCAGGGAGGGGGTCTGTGCTGCGTTGGGGATAGCCATCGAGAGTTCTGAGAGGGCTGGGTCAAGAATAAGGCCAAAAAGAGGGACAAAAGGTGGAAAGAAAGGGCCAGCCAGTGAGAAAGGGAGAGGCTGTGAAAGAAGACATGAGCACAGGGTCCTGCCAGCATGCACTCAGAGTGTGGAGAGCAAGCAGTCAAACTCACGGCCCACAGGCTGCATGCGGCCCACAACAAATACTTTTGCGGCCCAGCCAACGTAACGGTATGTAAGAAACGTCTTAATGAAAATTTTCTAATTTAATTTTTACAATATCCTGTTATACATAATTATTAATAACGAACTACAAGGTTAGCTAATGACTGATTACTATAATCGTGTTGCATTCATTTCCCTTATGTGCCTTACGCGCAGGCGCACCATTTCTCTCCACTAATACTAGCAGTGAATATTTTAGCAGCCGATTGCCACGTCATTAGTCTTGTACTGACTTGTTTGGTGTGCGCAACAGAAAATATTTCGCTTTCGGAGAACAAGAAAAATAGGTTTATTTGCATTACGCTTATTAATTTGTGCAGTTATTCACTGTCTGGTAAGTTAATGTTCAAGAAAAAGTATTGCCGAAACCGGTTTGGCTCAGTGGATAGAGCATCGGCCTGCGGACTGAAAGGTCCCAGGTTCGATTCCGGTCAAGGGCATGTACCTGGGTTGCGGGCACATCCCCAGTAGGAGGTGTGCAGGAGGCAGCTGATCGATGTTTCTCTCTCATCGATGTTTCTAACTCTCTATCTCTCTCCCTTCCTCTCTGTAAAAAATCAATAAAATATATTTTTAAAAAAAAAGGAAAAGTATTAATTTTTATTAAAATGTTCTATTATTTTATGTTAACGACTACTCATTTATTTCAACCCTTATTATTCAGCATGTCTTTATCGAAATAAACCTACCTTTCTATGAAAGTTGAAGCTTTTGGTTTTTTGCAGCCCACATCAACTTAAACCTTGTTTATTTGGCCCATGTTAGCCTTTGAGTTTGACATGCTTGGTGTAGAAAAATGAAATCTAGAAGGAAATTTCAGATCAGACAGAAGGGAAACAGACTGCTCCACATTTTTGTCTATTTATCTTGCAATTAGAGAGAGAGTTCATTTGAGATGGTGACATAAGAACCAGGACTACCTGCTTCTGAAGTGTGGCATCCTTTTCTCTCTCCAGCACCTTCGCAAAGAATACATAAAAACTCTCCTCTATTGGCTGGAAAATTAATCTGGCCACAAGGGAGCCAAGATTATTCACTATATCATATACACCTACAAAACAAAAGGAAGAAACAGCAATCCGACTGGGTTTCCTCTGAATTTTCTCAGCACTATTAACTTTTTATCTAATTCAATTTTTAAAACTTTTTGATATAACTATAGTCACGTGTAGCTGTAAAAATAATAGATCCAGTTTTCCACATCTTGCAAAACTCGAGTACAATGTCACAACTAGGACACTGACGTTGACAATTAAGATACAGCCCGAGCCAGTTTGGCTTAGTAGATAGAGCGTCAGCCTGCAGAATGAAGGGTCCCGGGTTCAATTCTGGTCAAGGGCACGTACCTCGGCTGCAGGCTCGATCTCTAGCCCTGGTCAGGGGATGCGCAGGAAGCAACCAATTGATGTGTCTATCTCACATCGATGTTTCTCTCTCTCTGTCTCTCTCCTTCCCTTCCACTCTCTCTAAAAATCAATGGAAAAATATCCACGGGTGAGGATTAATAACAACAAAAGATACAGAATACTTCCTTCACCAGCACTTTTCTATAAAAGTCATTAATACCACGTGGATTTTTTCCTATTTTTATTTCCACTACTCCGAGGTTATATTAAAAAAATAAATATGAAAAAATTGAGCCCTAGAAAGTGCTGGGGGATTGACAGCAAATCTCCAAACCAGTTAAAAACCAAATGAAACAAAATCAATAAAACCAGTCTGGTAAGTTGTTTTTAAGTACACCCACACAAACATGGGGTGTATCTTTGTAACTGTGATGATAAGCTCCCTTTTCTCTTCTCTTAGCACCTCCCCACCCCCAAATGAGCATCAGAGCTCTGCGGAAAGCAGGTTAAGGCAGGATTCATGTTTTCATAATCTTCCTTTTATATAATTCCTAGGTTCATTTTCATTAATCATATCAAAATGCAGAGAAAATATTAGGAAGTATCTACTAACAGTATTCCCCTTTAATTAAAACACTACAGAATTTCATCTTACCCTGATCGCCAAAATTTAACACATTCAAAAATGTCATCACATATCGCTCCCCTGCAAATAGAAAAGCAAAGTAATTAGCATTTTGATTGTACATTATTTTCTTGTTTCCTTTTCTCTTATCATCTATCAACTTTTCCTGTTGGCAAATATCTGAAAGGAGAAAAATTAGATAATTAAAGAAACATTCCTTGTCCTAATGTAGATTTCAAATAATCTCAAAATAGTAGCAGCTTAGAAAGCGCTGGGGGATTTATTGACAGCAAATCTCCAAACCAGTTAAAAACCAAATAAAACAAAATCAATAAAACCAGTCTGATCAGTTGTTTTTAAGTACAGGGAGATTACTAAAATATTAATAATGAAAGTAATTGTCCCAAGTTTTAAGGGAGATCAGATGATGTGAGTGTGAATTCTGTAAAACCAAAGGTCCATGGTTATGAGCACAGACTCATTGAAAGTTTCCTCTCCAGGAGGAGAACGCTCCATGGAGGCTGGCAAGGCTCTGGAGCCCACGCTCATGATTCAAATCTAAGTCTAATGCCTTCACGGAGAAGACACGGGCCCAGAGCCCTACTCCCCCACCCCCAATTTTCATATTATCTGTGAATGGAAAGCACTGACCATTATGGCGATAAAACACTGAGGAGTGCCCATAGCCCTACAGAGCAAATTCTCACCTCCTAGCAACTTGCTAAAAAAAAAAAAATAAATAAAAAGGCAATATTAGGAGACTAGAAGCAGTGGTCTCTGAAATCTCTCTGGCCCTTGCCTCCCTACAATCTCCCAGCCACTGCCCTGAGCAGGGACCTCCATGGTCCTCCCAGGCACTGGCCAATGGCTGAATTCACTCCCATCTGCATCTCTGCACTACTCCAACCATCTTCACCGCTAATAGTTCCAGCTTTTGCAAACCTAGCTCTTCAGTCAATCCCTGCTTTCACACCTTTAAATGGCCTCTTAATGTTTGCAAAAAGTCCGGGCTCCTTAATTCTGCATTTGGAGCCTTTTATAAACTACCCCCAAGCTATATTTTTGGCCTCCCTTCACCAACCTCATCCCCACCTCCCATCAAACCATCATCCTCAGCTACATCCTACCAGGCTTTGGCCTCTACAGCTGCTCTGAGTCAGGCTGGCTCGTGGCATTCTCACCACCTAGGATGGCATTTCTGCAGGGAACTCCTTGTGCTGCCACAATGGGCCTCTCCCTCTCTATTCTGTAAGCTCCCTGAGGGCAGGAACCATGTCTCGGTCATCTCCATTTCCCTGGTTTCCTAGAGGAGCGCCAGGAAGTGAGAGGACACACGAGAGATGTCTGGCGAATGAGGTCACGTTTCCAAGTACAGTCCTCGCAGCTCTGAGTCAGAGTTAACCACACAATTGTGCCTCTTTGATGAGAGAATGAGCTCTTTAAGCTCGTGGCCTGCTACTCATCCATCTGTGTATTCTCAGCACCTGGCACGTAGTGTTCAGGAAATGTGGGGGCAGAAGGCAAGAGCATACACATTTTTTGCTATTACAATGAATGATTTCAACTTTCTCAGAGCTGTAGCTTTGAGAGAAAAAGAATCTGGGAGTCCTTGTCAAGCCTCTTCCTTATTTCACAGCCATGGAGATGGAGGCCCTGAGAAGTTCCTAATGGCCCTCTGCCAGTCAGGCCAGGGCGGCCCAACCGTGGAGTGAACAAGCACTCGGGGCCCCCTCCAGGCCCAGCTCAGGAGGCCTGAGTGTGTGGCTAGCTTCATCTGCTGCTACCAACACATGTCCAGCCACTGCAATCCAGAGAACCAACCAGCGCCACTGCTTGGACTGGATCCATTCCTCAATTCATTTAAACTGCTCTTAAAACTCTGGGAGGAAAAAGTACACAAGGTGAACTAACAATAAGGTGAACTGTCACAAAACACAACTGCACTACAGATACCTTTCTTTACCAGCAAATACTTGAACACCTATCATGTGCAGGCCCAGCAGGGTGCTGGGGAGACAGTGGTGAACAGCACCTTCCAGCTCTCAAGAAACTCATAGTTAAGGCACCTCCACTCAGCTCTCCGAAGGCTTCTGATCCTTACTTCCTAGAAGTTCTGCCAACAGTTTCACTTTGTAATGGCAATGTTACAGGCTTAGACCAGAACCGTGCACTCTCAAAGCTCAGAGAGCCTCAGACACCTCCTGTCCTACCCCTTCACTCAGATGGGACAAGTGAGGCTTACAGGGAGTTACTTCCCTTTGGAAGTATAATTAGTTAAAAATGAAGATGGGGGGGAGCCCTGGCTGGTATGGCTCAGTTGGCTGGGCGTCGTCCTATGCAGTGAGGGGTTGCAGGTTTGATTCCTGGTCAAGGCATATGCTCAGGTTTCGGGCTTGATCCTCAGTAGGGAGTGTGCTAGAGACAGCAGATTGGTGTTTCTCTCTCACGTTGAATTTTTTCTTTGTCTCTCCCTTCCTCTCTCTCTAAAAATCAATAAAAAATATATATTTTTAAAGATAGATGGGGATGTGTGAAGGAAAATAATCTACATATAAAAAAAACCAGTGACTGGAAAGCCGTAACAACCAGAAAGACTGGTCGCTATGACGCCCACTGCAGCCAGCGAACCAGCCAGATCTGGGGATGGGGCCGGCCGGCCAACCTCCTACAGCCCCTCTCCCTGCCCAGCCCCACCCCAGATCGGCCCCCCCAACCTGATCAGGGGCAGGGCTGGCTGGCTGGCCAGCTGGCCAACTGCCTGTGGCCCCTCCGGCCGGCCAGCCAACCACCCATGGCCCCTCCCCCAGGCTACTGGCCCCTGATCGGCCCTCAGCCCACCGCCCACAGCCCCTCCCCACCCCAATCTGCCCCCACCACCCCGATCGGCCCTCGGCCCCTCCCCCAAGCCAGCTCCGCCCTGATCCCCCACACACACCAACTGGGGTGGGGGCTGGCCAACCTCCCAAGGCCCCTCCCCCAGCTGCTGACCCTCGATCGGCCCCCCACCCCATTTGGGGGTGGGGCTGGCCGGCCCATTGCCCACAGACCCTCCCCACGGCTGGCCCTGCCCCCAATCGGTCTCCCCAACCCCAATGGGGGTGGGGCCCGCCAGCCAATCGCCCACAGCCCCTCCCCCAAAGTAGCCTGGCCCTGATCAGCTGATCAGGGTGCACCCGCCAGCCAACCTCCCACCATCTCCTCCTCCCAACAGGCCCGGGCCAGATCTGCCCCGATTGGGGCCAGGCTGGCCAGACCCCACCCGTGCATGAATTCGTGCACTTATTGGAAACATTTTGTTTTCCCAAATTTTTGTAATGGAGTTATATATTTTTATAATTAAAAGACAATTTTTGAAAAGTTTTAAAAAAATATGTTCAGTATTCGGTATACAGGTGTATAGACAATGAAACTTATGTAGAGAGAGAAAATACTACTTTCAGCAGCTTACAGCTACCTCAAATCTCATTCTTTGAACTAAAGCTGGGTATAAATAAACCAATATACATACACAGAAAAATTAGATGTATGTATGTTTAGCTCCTCTCTGCATCGAGAGGTCTATCACTGTTACCCTGAAAAGCCTTAGAAAAGTGGAAGGCTGACCAAACTATTACAAAGGTGAATCTTACTGTTTAAGAAAATAAAATGATGAAAACCTGGTTCTTTTTCTTTACAAAGTTCAAAAAAAAGTGTATAAAAAGGAATAGGATAATGAGTCTACAGATTTTTCTATAATTGATATAATCCTTTTATGATACATTTATTTAAATGACATAACATGGGGTTTTGGAGATAGACTTGGATTCAAAATTAATTTATTTCTCATTACTAAAAGACCCCGAAGAAGTTACATAACCTCACTGACCCTCAGCTTCTTCATCCATAATAAACAAAGACACGTAAGTAAAGTATCAAGCTCAGCAGGTGCTAGGTTCCCTCTCCTTACATGAGAAGCCATTTCTGAGGTTCCTCTGCCCAGGGCTGTGGACAGCAGGAGGCCGGGATGGGATCCCCTTGCTTATGCTATGGCTTCCTAACTGCTCAGGATAATCTTTTACTCACCTTCTGTCAAAATCTGTTTCAAGAAAGACTGTTTGAAAAAACTCCAAGTCAATTTAGCCTCTGTCCAATTTACAAAAGCCTAAAAGAGAAAACAAACAAAAATATCCCAGGCACTGCAAGTCTAAGAGTACATTAATGCTACAGGAGAGGCAAATTCATGTTGGTCCCTAAATCCCAACTTAGATAGTCCCCACTGCTTTTTCATTTAATGCTGAGCACACAGAGACATCCCACAAATAATGGCAAAGAATTTACATTCCTAAACACGAAGACAAAATCTCCGGGTAGAACAGTCCCCCTGTCCGACACACACCTGTAAGGGGCCTGCCCAGGATTCACGCACAAAGGCCAGACCCACTCCACCTCTCCAAGAGGCTAGCTGTAGCTACAGAAGTTAACGCAAGGAACCTGTCCCATGGGCCCCTCCTCTTGGCCCAAAGCCCACCCGTTAGAGCAACGCTACCCAGTAGAAATATAATGCAGGACACATACATAATTTTAAATTTTCTAGCACCGTAGTGAACAGTAAAAAAAAAAAGGTTAATTTTATATATAATAAGTTAATTTAAATATATTTAACCCAAAATATCATCATTTCATCACGTTAAAAAATATTAGAGGCATTTCACATTATTTTTTGTACTAAGTTTGAATCCAGTGTGTATTTTTCACTTAGAGCTCACCTCAATTCCAAATGCTCCATAGCCACACGTGGTGTTTACCACTTAGCACAGGGCAAGTCTAGAGTACCCCTCGAAAGCAGGGGTCATTTCCAGTCCTCAAATGTCCTCACCCCTGGTTTCAGAGCCTTTCTTCCAGGCACTGCAAGGGCAGGCCTGACCCTCCCAAACTACACTTCCTCCAGGGCACCACTGGACCTGGAGCAGATGCCAGGGGCAGTTCTAGTTCAGGAGTAAATCTTCCCAGGGAGAAGGAAACTGGGTCTCTCCTTTCCCCAGACTCCCTACCACCACCAGGGGGCGCTGTGGGCCACATCATGTTTGGGGCAGTGATCCCGCCGATAGCCTTGGGCAGGACACCTCTCACATTCCCCACGCCAGGTTATCCTCTGGGGGGCTCTCCCCAGCACGACCTGTGCTCTTTACAGTTACAGCTGGCCCACGAGGCTCTTCTGAAGCCTACTTGCTGGTAGATTGTGAATGGGAAGATGGCTGAGTTACTTTTAAAAATTTCTTTAGGAAAGTAAAATCTCTATATGATACCTCGTACTTTAGCATTTCTTTCTCCCAATGCCTTCAATTTATACAGACCCATGCCCCAGCGAGTGGCTCAGTTCAGGGTACTTGCAGGAGGCAACCAATCGATGCTTCTCCCACATCGATGTTTCTCACCCTCTCGCATCCTTCCTCTCTCTCTCTAAAAAAATCAATGAGAACATGTCCTTGGATGAGGACTAAAAAAAACAACAAATAAGTAAATTAACCCATGGTTCAGAAGGAATGGCTACACTGCTTACTATGTCCAAAATGCTCATTAAGAATAAAGAGACAGGAAGTCTGATTAGGTTTCTTCTCAGAGGTGTCTGCTAAGCAATAGAAAAGAAGTGCATTCTTTGGGCTTTTAGCATTCTGTCCGGAATGGATTTGTCACGTGGGACGGTCAAAAGAGGCCTATTTCACAAGAGGTAGGTTGGTACTGCTGAGCTGGTCTACAGGCTGTGAATTTCCCTGCAGTCCCCTGACCAACAAGCCTTGTTGGTCAGGGGACTGCAGGGAAGGTCTGGCACCAGAACTCTGGGGCTCACTCTGCTTTAATCTGAGTCACTCACCTCTGCCCACCCATGTGTCAAGGCCCAGATCAAAAGCAGCTTCCTCCATGAAGCCTTCCTCGATGCTCCCAGATGGAATTTACCAGTTCTTCTCTGTGCCTCATTTCGTTAACACCAGGCGCATGCGCCACACACACACACACACACACAAACACACACACACACTCTGTCTGTCTTGCAGTGTAGTTAGCTGAGTACACATCTTAACTCCCTACCACAATGCAAGTTCTGAAGGCAGGAACCCTATTCAGGGCACCTAGTACAGTGATTATCACAGAATACTGCTAAATACATGCTTCGCCTCTGCAGGTACTGCCTCCCAAGGGCACAGGCAGCCTCTGAGGCCCAGCAATCACCGCCCTGTATGTCTGTATCCCGGCCAGCAGCCAGCAGGGGCTGTGCTGTTTGTCAGCAGGAACAGAGCCACAGAGAGTGACAGGTACACACAACCTTCTCGTGGCCAAGGCTCTGTCCCAGCAGTACGAGCATGGGTACTACAGGGACAGACTGCAGGTAACACCGCTGCGCTCTCACACCAATGCCACCGCGTCTGCCTTGCGAGGACGTTTCAGTGGAGCTAGCGCTGCTCTCAGGGCAGCAGTGTGATGGTGATGATGGTATCAGCTGTCACTATGGTCACCCAGCGGGGCCAGGCCAGGCCAGGTTAAACACCTTACATGCCCCATCTCATCTGACTCGCACAACCACGTTAGGAGGGATGGACTCTTATCGCCATTTGACAGGTAAGGAAATGAAACTTGGAGTTCTGAGCCCATCACAGGGTTAGTTACACACCTGACAGACTCATTACCCTCTCCTGTCTGTATTAATGGTCCAAATACTCCTTCCCAAAATACTGCCAGGGGCAGGGGCTGGCCCAGTGGTTCAGCTGGCCAGGCCGGGACAGGTGGGCCCCAGGGAGCCTCAGGGAGGGACTTTCCTGCATGCTCAGTCCCACTGGGCAGGTGGCAGAATGAGGCACTGTGGTATCCCCAAATTACCACGTTGATTTAGATTAAAGGTAAGATCTAGTAGATCAGAATGGAGAACTCTTATCTAGCAAATCAGAACATATCTGGCTTTTCTTGAAAAGTTGTAGAGCAAGATTCCATAAGTTCTGAGACTAAAGTCCCAAATATTTTACAGCTTTTTAAAGTAGCCCAGCCGGTGTGGCTCAATGGTTGAGCATTGACCTATGAACCAAAAGGTCACAGTTCAATTCCCATCAGGGCACATGCTCTGGTTGTGGGCTGATCCTGCAGGAGGCAGCCGATCAATGATTCTCTCTCATCATTGATGTTTCTATCTCTCTTCCCTTCTTCTCTGAAGTCAATAAAATTTTAAAAATAATAAAGTAATCACAAAAGAGAAATCCGGTTAAAGCCTTACCTCAACTAAGCGCACCACATCTAGCCAGCCACCAGGCGGGGGAAGAAGGAAGGAGGCCAGCCCGGAACGGAGCGGGACACGAAGCAACTGCGCAGAGGCAGTGCAGTATGGCATCACCCTGCAGCTCCAGGCCACAGGCAGCAGCACCGACCCAGAGTCAGGAAATGAAGGTCAGATGGACCAAGAGTTGAAGAGTTGAGTAGAAAAAGATTATGCTTGGCTCCCACACATTAGCATCCTCAGAGGATGACATGGGAAAGTGGGTCACCTGAGAGAGGCCTGACACTCGCTGAGGGACTACGCAGGGGCTGTCCCTGCTTTCTCAGCACTCTGGAATGTCTGTGCCAGAGGCCAGCTCTGGGGAAAACCAAGCGACAGCAGGACAGAGTGGAACACAGTGGTTATAGCTTGTGGTCTGCTGGGATCCACGCCACTCCAGGCGACTGTCCTCGCTCTGACCTTCACCTTGGGCAGGTGTTTAGTCACTAAGCCTCAGTTCCTCAACCGTAAAATATAAACAACAGTGTCCGCCTCACAGAGTTGTTATACCTAAAGGCATGTAGAGTACTCGGCATAGGACCTAGCACATGGGTTCTCAACTGGGGACAACTTTTGTCTCCGAGGGGACGTTTGGCAGTGTCTGTGGTTGTTATAACTGGGGGGTGGTAACTACTAGCATCTAGTGGGTAAGAACTGAGAATGTGCCTGGCCAGTGTGGCCCAGTGGTTGAGTGTCAATCTATGAACCAGGAGATCACTGTTCCATTCCTGGTCAGGGCACATGCCTAGGTTGCTGGCTCAATTACCAGTAGGGTGTGTGTGTGTGTGTGTGTGTGTGTGCAGGAGGCAGCCAATTGATGATTCTTTCTCATTATTGATGTTTCTATCTCTCTCTCCCCCTCTCCCTTCCTCTCTAAAATCAATAAAAAATAAATTAAATTAAAAATAAATCAAGAATGCAGAGGACAGCTCCTAAACAAAGAATTATCCAGCCCAAAATGTCAATACTGCCAAGATTTAGAATCCCTGGCTGAACACATAGCAAGCACTCAAAAGATATGAGCTACTGAATTACCTTTACTATTCTAATAATAATAAACAATTAAGTTATAGTTTCTTTCCCTCAAGGATAACCAGCATCTGTGATTAAAATGATAAGAGACAAAAATATATTACTTACTCTACTTCTCAGAATACTGGGTAGCAGATCTGTCATTCTGGAGACAGGAAGAGTTTGTTGCTTGGTTGATTTTGGGAAACCCAGTAACTTTTTGAAATAAGTAACATAGCAGAGCACCAGAACTGTAGTATAGAAAACCTGGGGGGAAAAGAAAAGAATGGGCTTAAATTGCACTGTTTTAATATAGTCCTAATTAAGATATGCTATAAATTTGACCTCAAAGGTCAATCAAGAAACAGAACAGTCTTAATTAACTGCACCTTCTGGTCTA